TTGCTTTGGTAGTTCTGTAGGGGGTTGGATTTGTGAAGGACCTGCCTAGTATGGGGCAACAGGTCTACTGTTGGGAAATAAACATGCAAGCTCTATAATTTAGGTTATAATATCTGCCACATCCTCTTTGTTTGGTGCGGATGCAAATGCGGATGTATATTGAAACGTGATTTCGGATGCGGATATCTCATTTAGGAAAAATAAGGATGCGGACACGGATGCGGATGTAATAATTTGTGCGGATGTTCCGCGGATGCGGATACAGATGTCTGATACATCCCTACTGTGTACTATGAATGTGTTTTCTTCTTTGCATCATGGTACCTTAGGGAGAAGTTGTTTGTGTGTAAAAATAAACAAAATCAATACAGTGGACCCCCGCTTAACGATCACCTCCCAATGCGACCAATTATGTAAGTGTATTTATGTAAGTGCGTTTGTATGTGTATGTTTGGGGGTCTGAAAAAATATCGTTAACCGGGGGTCCACTGTATTTCTCCATATATCAGTATCGTACAATACATCTATTCTTTTTTCTACTAAAGACAAACATTTTGCTTAGGCATATATCACTTTCATTCCTATATCCTTACTGGCATGTATGAAGACATGTTGTAGTCTATGAGATTTCCTAAGTAACCCTCCATAAACGACACCACAACATCTCCTCCAATCATCTCTGGCTTAGTTTGTGATCCACTCATGCCAAAAGCTACATAATCATTCTCTCCTGCAAAGCAAAGAGTAGCTTAAAATATCTATAGAATGATTAAGAACATTATGACTGGGTACTTCATTCATCACAAATTTTCCATAACAATTATTTTAAGCAGGACTTGTAAATAAGTGGATTAGGCTGAATTTATAATGAGAGGTATTTTGAATACAAATTAAAGCTAATATTAATGAAAAATGTAGACTTGCAGATCATTTTCATAGAAAAAAATGATTAATAAAATACAAAGCTTGTTAAAATAAACAGGAAACAATTAAAACACTGCAAGTAAGGTGAAATGAAAGCTGCCATCCTTACCAACTTGTGCAGCAAGTTCCATGGTGATCTGGTCACCAAACACCTCCCATGATACCTGAAAGTCTTTGTACAACTGCTCACAGTTTGGCATGCTATTCTCATGTGGCTGAAATGAATAAACCAATGGATATATTAACTTTTTTGAAAAATAATTTGTAAGCATAGTGTCATTAACAAATAACTCATACACAGGAGAGGAAACTTTGGATGATATTTTGGTCTCTTCTGGACCACTGTCAAGTCACAGCTGAGAGAAAAAATAAGAGAAAGCCAAAAGACAGATTGGGAGAAGGGAGAAGAACAGAGGCAGCAGCAGTGGTGATGGCAGAAGTAACAGTAGTTGAATATTAGTGGTGGTGGAATATTAGTGGGAGTGGAATAGCAGTGGTAGTAATAGTCATAGTAGTGGTAGTAAGTCATAATAGTGGTAGTAATAGTAGTAGAAAACAATGCTGTCATCTAGTCTTACATTCTGGCAATGACTCCCTTAAACCATGGTACAGGTTTATTCAGAGGTTTACATGCATATTTAGCCACACTGGTTCTGTCACTGAACTTGTTGCAAAGATGGCTTGTTTTAGCTTGCTCAGGGTAGTGCTTCTGCACAAACATTTGGACATCATTCCACTTGGCACAAATCTCCTTAATCTTTGAATAATAATAATAATAATAATAATAATAATAATAATAATAATAATAATAATAATAATAATAATAATAATAATAATAATAATCTTTATTTACTACAAGTACATGTACAAGGCATACAGCCCTAGCTGACAACAATGACATACTACTACATAGAAAGCCACTTGTTATGCTGAGCATGTCGGGCAAATAGGTCAGTGTTCCAGGATGCGACCCACACCAGTCGACTAACACCCAGGTACCCATTTTACTGATGGGGAACATAGACAACAGGTGGAAAGAAACACGCCCAATGTTTCTACTCTGGCTGGGAATCGAACCCAGGCCCTCGCCGTGTGAAGCGAGAGCGTTAACCACCAGGCCACCAGGGTTATCGAAATTACCTAAATCTGAAACTACCTTGGGTAGTTTCAAATTTAGGTTGGATAAGTGCATGAGGGAGAGGGGTTGGATTTGAGCGGGACGTGCACGTGAGTAAATGGAATTGTCTAGGCTTGGAAATGGTATAAAATATCGACACAATGGAAATATAAACACACATGCAGTATAATGTGATCCTTTATTGACAACGTTTTGCCCACACAGTGGGCTTATTCAAGTCACAAACAGATCTGTTTGTGACTTGAAAAAGCCGTGTGGGCGAAACGTCAATAAAGGATCACATTATACTGCATATGTGTTTATATTTCCATTGTCTAGTCTTATTACTTAGGTAGCGTTTATTCTGTTAGTGGGTTGGATTTGTGAAGGACCTGCCTAGTATGGGGCAACAGGTCTACTGTTGGGAAATAAACATGCAAACTCTATAATTTAGGTTATAATATCTGCCACATCCTCTTTGGTGCGGATGCAAATGCGGATGTATATTGAAACGTGATTTCGGATGCGGATATCTCATTTAGGAAAAATAAGGATGCGGACACGGATGCGGATGTAATAATTTGTGTGGATGTTCCGCGGATGCGGATACGGATGTCATTCACTCCCTCTTCCTCCTCCTCTGAAGCAAGTTCCTCAACTGTGGTCTGATACTGCTCCAGATGAAGCTCTTGTAGCTCTTCAGTGGTTAGCTCTTCCCTGTGGTCCTCCAACTCTTCCACATCCTCACCACTCACCTCCAACCCCAGGGTGTTCCCCAATGCCACAATAAAGTCCACAGCAGGCAGAGGGTGAGCTGGGCTTTTCTTAAACACACTGGGATTTTCTGAATGATACACAAGTAAAGGCTTCACTTTAAAATCACCACTAGCATTAGCACAGAACAAAAGAGTAAGCCTGTCTTTCATAGGCTTGTGTCCTGGCAGTGCCTTTTCCTCCTGTGTGATGAAGGTCCTTTTTGGCATTTTCTTCCAAAACAAGCTTGTTTCGTCACAATTAAACACTTGTTCAGGTTTCAATTCTTCACTGTCTATGTACCCCTTAAACTCCTGTACAAACTTCTCAGCCACCCGTTTATCTGAACTGGCTGCCTCACCATGTCTTACAACATTGTGTATGCCACTATGCTTCTTAAATCTGTCAAACTAGCCTCTGCTGGCCTTAGATTCACTATCAGCACTGGTTCCAGGAGTTTTCTGTACCAGATCGGCATGCAGCTTCCTTGCCTTTTCGCAAATAATCGTCTCTGAAACACTATCACCTGCAATCTCTTTATCCTTGATCCACACCAGCAACAACTTCTCAACCTCTTCAACTATTTGTGGTCTTTTTTTGGTTAGCATATTAACATCAGCTTCCTTGATTTGTTCTTTCTTTGACAGGATAGAACCGATGGTCAACTTGTTTTCCCCATACATCCTGGCAAGCTCAACAAGTCTCACACCACTCTCATACTTCTATATTATTTCCTTCTTCGCATCTATGGTGTTTCTCACTTTCTTTACCACAGGGGTACCACTAGCAAGTTTCTTTGGGCCCATGGCAGTTTATTTCACAGTCCCATAAGCACTAAACACAACGAAATAATCGTAAATGCGTGAATGAGAGCGCAGGTTAGTGTTCACTCAAGCATAAACAAAGCTACACTGCTCACGGCGCCTGCGCGGAGACGCGGACAGAGCAGGCAGCAGACAGGTTCCATACCCAGCAGTCCGAAAATAGGGGCGCGTTCGATAATAGGGACACAGTTTGTCCGAATAAATGGTCCTATTTTCGAAAGGTTCGATATGTGATACATTCAATTTTTGAGGTTCCACTGTATAAGAAACACATTACATATGTAGCATATAAACATAGCATATAAACATGCAATGTTTATATGTTATCAAGTGGAGAGTGGGATGGAGAGTAAACATTACATTTTCTCTTGTGCAGCGTTAGAGAAAACTGTGAATCTGGCGACTGGTGCAGTAACCACCCTTCATATGCATTTGTTTACAATTCTTGGCATGAATTATTCATTACTTCTCCCTTTGTTTAAGATGGAATCTAAAGGTAGTTGTTAGAAATGATTAAACTCAATGAACATGGTAATAATATGGCTGTGTAGTGTAATAATATGGCTGTGTATTGTAATATAGCTGTGTAGTGTAGCCCGGGGGGAGGCTACATACGTGTACTGTACCTACATCTACTGCTACCTACACTGACTTCCTACAAATAAATACTACTCACCTCTTGCCCTACATTAAGACTACAAATATTTTAAGGTTAGTAATGAATGCACTGTAGCAGTAAATGTCAGATTAAAGAGGTGTGTGCAATGTGGACTAGGGTGCAAGCTTTTGTATAGAAACACCACCCTGACTCAGCCATATCTGCAACATGTTCAGTGACAAAACCCTGTCCCACTTCAGGGAAATCTTAGAGAGATGCCAGAGACAGACCTCTATGGACAGATTTGTTGTGAGGCAGGGGTCCAGTGACTCTCAAGCTGGTCCTAGTAGCATTAACCCTTTGAGGGTCGACAGGCCCTCTCCGAAACTCGTTCTCAGGGTCGGCCAAATTTAAAAAAAAAAAAAAATTATTTTCTCTTATGAAAAGATAGAGAATCTTTTCCCGATCATAAAGACACCAAAAGTTTGAAATTTGATAGAAAACTTACGGAATTATGCTCTTGCAAAGTTAGCGGTCTCGGCGATGTTTACGCATCGGCGATTTTGCCCACTTTGAGCCCCATTTTCGGCCAATTTCCACTGTACTATTCGACAAAAAACATGAATATTTCGCTAGAACTCCATTTTTTCTATCGAATGGGTGCAAGAAACCACTCATTTATAAAATTCAACTATCCAGTACAGTGGTCAGAATTTAGAAATTTTTTGCCAATTTCACACAAATTCAAAAGATGCCAATTTCCGAATAGGGTCCAAATAAAAAAGAAAGACATTCCTGCACTAAAATGACATTTCCTCTAGTCATTAGTCCACGTCTCAAGGCCCCTCTATATTCTTTTGCTTTCCACTTTGAATTTTTATTTTCACAGAAAATATAAGATTTACTGTTATGCAGACTACTGCATTAGTGTAAAAAATGGTATAAATATTATTGGTGCACTTGTGAAAGAATATTAGACTCACCAGTTGACGTGTATTGCACGCTTGGCACGATTTGTTTACTTTTGAAGTTTGGTAAAAATCGAACATTTCTGCTACTTTGAGCTCAATTTCAAGGCACCTTTCTTTGTAAAACCAGTCAAAATCATCTCAATTTCTGTAATATGTCTTCCATTCTATAAAATGAGACCAAGAAAACTAGAATACAACAATAAATACCATACGAAAATACACTGCAAAGTCGCTGATTTATTCAAAAAAAAATGGTCAAAGTTTTTTTTTCTCATTATGCACTGTGTGCTGCAGGATTTTTTTTAGATTGTGCACACTGACCACATAGACCCATTCTTTCATACGAAGGCCTACCAGCTTTCTCCCACTAGATTTGAGGCCGCTAGAATTTATGAGTACTAGTACGTCAAAAACCCCTACGCGTAAGACGTACTAGTACGACGAAAACCCTCAAAGGGTTAAAAGACAAAGAAGGGAAGTAACCCCAGAGAAGGCTTTGCTACCTAAAGTCTTTATGGAGGGGGATTATTATTATTATTATTATAATCAAGGGGGAAGCGCTAAACCCGGAGGATTATACAGCGCCTGGGGGGGGGGGGATGTGGAAGGCATTCAGGTTTAATTCGGGGAACTGGAGCACAGATCCAATTCCCTAAATCAAGAGCCCCTCACCAACATCAAGGAACCTTCCTTGAGGGGTATGGAGGGGGATTCCCCTTCCAAACACTAACTCCTCCCTCTTTCCTCTTCCCTATCTTCCAGAAGCCAGCATTAGCCTTCAATAAAGGTATGTAAAACTTACATAATTGTTTAAAAAAAATTATTTTTTTGTGAATATTTTTGTCTGGAATGTATTAATTGTATTTCCATTAATTCTTATGGGAAATATTAATTCGGTCTTCGGCCATTTCGGGTATCGGCCGACCTTCTGGAACGGATTACGGCCGATAAC